TGTGCATTTCTAATCTCCTGTAGTGAGTGTGATAAACAAAACACACCAGGGCCAGACAGACCCAAGCCTGTTTCCCCATCTGCAAAATCAGCATCACTATTACCTCTGGGGGTTCCTGAGGATTAACGAGTAAAGGATATGAAAATGCCTCACACTCAGGGGGCCCTGGCTGGATGACAGTTTTCATTTACAACAGAGCCTCAGGATCACTGATTGTAATTTCGTCATCTCATCTGTAAGTTCTCCTAGAGTTTATCAGGGCCAGGAGATATGAAAACACATAGTGCATTTGGGGAATCTCTTAGGATGTCATGACTTAAAAACTGGTAAATAAAGGGAAAGAATTAAGTGATTATCCTGCCTTTCTTGTATGAACTGCACTACTGAGCAGTCAAATAGTAAGTAACATTTTCTTTTTTAAGAATATTTCGGCTGATTGTTGAAGAAGGAATAATAGACTACCACCAATTTGCAACTTCTAATGAATTGATAGATCTAGGCAATGATCATCAACGACTACTACAATCACCCAAAGAAATATTCTTGCAAAAGAAGAAATTGAACCCAAACTTGACCAAGCCTCTGAGTACAACTGCCAATTTACAGGAAACATTGTAGAGTTGGAATTGGCAAAAATCCATATTGTAGGAAACTCTATAGTATAATTACGTTTCTTCTATGAAGAGAAAGAAGAGCAATGCATAGAAAATTTTAGATTAAAAACTACCAATGAGGGGCCCGCCCGGTGGCACAAGTGGTTAAGTGTGCGTGCTCTGCTGCGGCGGCCCGGGGTTCACCGGTTCGGATCCCCGGTGTGCACGGACGCACAGCTTGGCAAGCCATGCTGTGGCAACGTCCCATATAAAGTGGAGGAAGATTGGCACGGATGTCAGCCCAGGGCCAGTCTTCCTCAGCAAAAAACGAGGAGGATTGGCAGATGTTAGCACAGGGCTGATCTTCCTCACAAAAAAAAAAAAACAAAAAAATACCAATGAGATACATCAACCAATCAGAATATATGGAACTTACTTTGGTCCTGTTTTTTTAAGTAATTTTTTAAAAAAAGACAACGACTTTAACATTTATGAAACAATTAAGAAAAAAAAAAGATTTTGACTTATCTTAAGATAACATCTCCCTTTAATGGTGTACATTTTGCCCTGTCTGACCCAACATCATTCTCCTGGATTAAGAACACAGAATTAAACAGGAAATTAGTTTTACCTCCAACTCTTGATGGGCCCGGGTCAAGAGTGCACATAGCCCGCTTACCATATGTCTAAATATCTAAAAAACATCCTCTTAGCTGAGGTAATCCCCTCCCACCAACAAAAAACAGACCCTTAGACAAGGGCATGTCACAGGCAGTTTATCTGGGGAGTGATTCCAAGGAGGAGAAGTAGGGGTCTTGGAAGAAAAAACAAGGGAAGAAGGGAAAGCCACCCCAAGTATACATTATCAAGCTGATCGCCACTCCGGGCAACTGTCTTGATCCTTCAAGGGCTTCCCTGAAGAGCAATGTGGACTGTACCTCCAAATTATCTTCCTGAGCAATAGAAGAGGGGAACATTTGCTCATGGTTCCTGGGTTCTATTAGCCACGGGTTACCCAAGGGGAGTTAACTCCCTAGCACTTCTAGGTTTGCACGTGTGTCAGAATGGCTGACATGGTCCCAGTAGGTGTTCCCTGGGGGAAGCAGGGAAGCCCCAGGGAAGAAGGTGAGCAAGCCACAGTGTAGCTGAGGCAGGATGCTACTGGGCTACCCAGCATGCAGCTGGTTGCCACAGCAACAGCTGAACTAAAAGATGGGCAGGAAGAATGTGAGGTAGAGGTGCCCGTTACAGACACTCAGCTGGCAAACTGCTAAATCAAACATGCCCTATCCGCCTATCTTGACAAATCAGTTTCACAAAGACTTGGAGGCCAGGTTCAAATTGAGAGTTCTCAGGCCCCTGTGAGTTCAGCTTCAGAACATGGTGGCAAGGGGAGATTTGATCTCTGGTCCCCCACCCAGGGCCCTTCTGTGCCCAGCCCTGGATCCACCTCATGTCACAAGGGGGCTTTCACACATGTATGTGGACATCCTGCCCACACCTCTAAGCTCCGTTCACCCCTCCCTCACAAACAGCTGCTTGCTGGCCACTCTGAGGCCGAGGGGAGTGCACTCCAGTGCCAATCTCAGGAAGACAGACCTGGGAAAACGTCCAGGAAGGCTCTAGAACCAGTCCAGGGCCTCCCAGGCAGAGAATTTGGGGGTCCTGGGCACCCAGGACATAGTTTAGAGCAGGGGACAGGGTTCTGGGTAGGCACGTACCCTTGGCCTCATGGACTTCTCAATCCTTTGTGAGGGATGTGGTGCGGGAGGGCCAGAGTGGAGTCCTTTAAAGCGTGGGGCCCCAGGTAGAGACCCCTCCTGCTCAGGCCAAAAGGCAATGCTGGTTCTTTGCCATCCATTCACTTTACACTATAGGCGATGGAGTCAGACAGATCTTTGTCCATCTTGGCTCAGGCGGCAAACAATAACATGAGGGAAACTACTCACCTGTTCAGTTTCTTCAGTTGTAAAAGGGAAGGTTGTGAGGATTGAAGGAGAAAATATTACACAAGCACTTGCCCTGTGCCTGGCAGATAGTGGCGCCCCACAGGAGGCAGGTCTGTGAGGGGCCAGAAGGGCTGCCTCCATACAAGGGCATCTGGGGCCAGGCTTTGTGTCCAGGGCGGAGGGGGCTGAGGGAAGGAGCACAGGCTGGAGTCAATAAACTTTTTCTCTATTTGGTGCAATTTTCCTGGAAATGTATAAAGAAGAGTAATTTGATAGTTTTTGCACAGAGTCCCAAAACTTCTTTAAGACTTGTTCTAGGGCCGGCCCCGTGGCTTAGCGGTTAAGTGCGTGCGCTTCGCTGCCAGCGGCCCGGGTTCGGATCCCGGGTGCACACTGAGGCACCACTCCTCCAGCCATGCTGAGGCCGCGTCCCACATACAGCAACTAGAAGGATGTGCAGCTATGACATACGACTATCTACTGGGGCTTTGGGGAAAAAATAAATAAATAAAATTATTAAAAAAAAAAAAAAAAAAAAAAAAAAAAAAAGACTTGTTCTAGATCCCACTGGACTGTGAGCTCCTTGAGGACAGAGCTGCATACTGCTCTCTGATAAAAGCCTAGCTCTTAGCATAGTGCCTGACACTATTATTATAATGAGTGCTCAATAAAAAAGCATTGGATGGACGATTTCAAATTGGGTTTATTGCTTTTAATGGAAGGCTCTTTTTCATACGTTGGCTCTAAAGTTTCCATGTTAATCTCAAACTGGAATCATTCTCTTCCTCGAGCCTGCTCCTCCTCTCAGTTCCCTGCCTCAGTGTGCAACACCACCAACCCCCAAGCCGGCAGTCGGGGCATCATGCTCAGCACCTCACTCTCCATCACCCCTTATACCGGGTCAATTACCATGTCCTGGAGATTCTATCCATTTGGTAGTTTTTGGATATGTCTGAGTCACTACCGCAAACCTAGTTCAGACAAGTATTCTCGCTCCCTAAAATACTGCAGCAGCCTTTCAGCTGCTCACTTCACACCCATTCATGTTCCCTGAATATGTCCTCCCCAGCGCAGCCAGAGGGGCCTTTACACATCTGACCACATCCCAGCTGGGGTGCAGCTGCAGGACCCTCTAGTATCCATCAACTGCCCCACAAGCCTGTAAGATCCTTGAGAACAGTCTTTGCCTTATATTTCTTTGTATCTCCTATGATCAGCCAGAAACTCAGTAACTGTTACATAAAGTTTTTAAAATTAGAACAATTTTTGACCTATTCAGAAAATTATAAAATCTCAAATCAAAGATTTAAACTATCAAACATCAGAGATGAACCAGGACCAGAGGAGCCAACGGCAGCCCCTGAGTAACTCGTGGTGAACTGACCTTGGTGAGCAGGGGTCGTACTCATATTTGCTGATTTGGTGCAAGGCCCTGGGATCCTTGCACTGGCCCTCATTTGGATATGAAATTAACTTAGTCCTGGAGTGAGCCGTTGGGCTATTTCTAGAAATCACCATCTTTCTCAGGAGTCGTCTTTACTGACATCTGACACTTAAGCCATGTGGCTGCTCAAGGGAGCCTGTGCTGTGTGTTTCAGAAAACCCATCCTCAGGAATTTATCTTCCACCTGGAAGGTTTTGATCAGACATCATGGAACCGACCAATCTTTGTGTTCATCACAACAGCCCTGTGCTTGCATCAGCTTTCTTTTCTCATCAATCATAGGGACACCTTCTGATATTTGCTGAAGGGAAAGTATTTATGGTCTGCTTTCCAGCACAAGCATCATGCTTCAACAAGTTTTATCTATTTCTTTGACTGGACAAACTGCTTACCATCTCTGAGTCTCAACTTAGTCATCTTTGGGAATAAAAATCATAACTATCTGATGAGGTTATTGTGAGGATTATGAGATGAAATATGTATTGGGTTTAACATTGCATTGTAAAGGTTTTATGAATGTCAAGTATTATTGGGGGTTTTTTGTGCTTTGTTTTAAAACAGGATTTGGGGAGCTACTAAAATATGTGCAAAATTATAAGATAAAATTAAGTAAATGAGAAAACCAGAGTCAGAAGGGACATTGCATCATTCCAGAGAATCATGAGGGTTTTAGCTTTCTTACACCAAATGCCAACTTGGCCATACATTCGTTCATTGTCTGGATCAGCACTTACTTTGAGCAGCTCTTCAGCATGGTAGCCTATACACAGGAGTAAAAGAGCTTGTTTGTGCTTCAGGCTGGGACGAAGAGCCCAGAGATACCCAACTAAAATACGATGTGGCAAGAACTCTGAGAGAAACTGAATGAGGGCGTGTGCACCAGGGCTTTGCCTGAGGGGGGACCCTCACATACAGTGAGCTGGGTTTGCAGTTACTTCCCCTTCCTGATGACGTATCTGCTTTATGTTTATGTTTCAGCAACCATCTTGGGACTAAATGTGACAAAGCAAGAATATGGCCAAGATTAGCACCCAATACTCCCACCCCTCACCAGCCCACCGTGCGGTAAGGACCATGGACAGAGATCTGGATCACGTTGAAAATGGCCTCAGCAGGTAAGATAGGCTTTTCATTTTAAGCCTGGAACAGGTTACTCCCCTACCTGATCTGGACTGTGGGGGAAAGAAGGCCTTAGGCTCGTGGCCAACCACAGGTTGGAGGGTGGGGGCTATTCACAGAGCTCCTGCTAACTTTATTTTTCATCTCACTTAATCCTCACAACCCATACTGAAGTAGTTTTTATTCTCCTTTTAGAAATGTGGGAAAATGAGGCTCAGAAAGTTACATAACTTCTAGAGGTAATAAATTGAAGATTCAAATGCAACAGATTAAATTCCACTGTAAAAACTTCTCCAAAGTGCCACACTTTCCCATGTATACATCAAACATATATTGGACACTCTCTGTGCACCAGCCCTTGTCCTGGGCACTAGGGATGAGTACAAATCAAAGGTCCTGTCCCTCATTTCCAGGGGAAGGTCAGGACTCATGCTGTGCTCATGGGCCTGTAAGGAGTGGGCCATGCCTTGCCAGCAAAGCCATCAGCTTCATCAATGACATCCCAACATAGCAGCCATAAGGAAACCTGGGTTCTACTTCTAGCCCTGTTCCTAACTTACCAGTAGACCTGGGAAAACTCACTTAACCTCTCCATGCCTCAGTTTCTTCAACTGAAAAATGGAGCAGCATTCTTTTATAAGCTCCTGGAATAATAGTGAGGGAATGGGAGAGTACCTATTTGGTGCAAATGAACTTACATTTTTATGTTCCTTAAATACTCAATGAGTTGACTGAGTTGAACCATAAGAAACTATTTCCAATATTTATGTTATTTTTTTCCTACATATATAACACTAAAAACTTCCCCTTCCCATGATAACTGCATGTTATCTGATGGCCAAAAAGTGCAATGACAGTCCCTCAGTCCTCACATCCCTGGCACAGGGCCTTCTTCTGCCATTTCTCCTCACTCACTTGTGTACATTGCTTCTTCTCTCAGATGCACATTTGTTTTTTCCCTGTCTAGGTTCTTGGTCCCAGCTCCTTAGCAAACTCTGCTAATAAGTGATTCACAACAATTTCCAAAGAGATTGGGTCCCTACTATGGCAAACTTATACAGCCCTTGGACCCCACCTTTTGGGATGCAGGCAAAAGAAGGAAAATCTCAAAGCATCTCAACAGATATTTATTCCCTCCAACCATTTTAACTTGGTCCTGGGGCCCCAGGAAATTTGATATGACTCAGGGACATCAGAAATTCCCACCCTACTCAAATCTCTCCCTCCCAACTGGCCTATACCTGTGTCAATACCTGTGTCCCACCACTGGGGACTTATTCCTTTAGGTTAAGGCATTGCCCCTTATTTAAAAGAAAAAAAAATGCTATTATGACAGTTATCTACTATTAAAACTTTGGTATGCTTTAATAGTTTCTATCCCACATCTGAGCTAATAAAACCCTTTGAAGGGGAGCTTCGAAGAAGGTTGGGGTGAAGGGGAGAAAAGGCCCAAGTATGGACATATCAGTAAAGTCAGTCTCCCTGGGCAGCATCGGGCTCCTGGGATCTCGGGCCTAATGACAGAAGGACAGAGGCTGTCAGGATCAAGGAGAACTTAAAGCAAAGTGGAACTTTTCCCCATTGCTTCCTTTTGCCTCAACTGGGCATGACCCGGGCGACTCATGGAGCTTCCAGACTTCCTGGAGCAAAGAAGGCGGCAACGGGGTCTCAATCCGACTCCTTCCAGTGAGATACTCAAGAGGAGACGGCAGGCACAGTTGGTGGGCTGGAGCTCCTTCCCAGAATGCCTGCTTGACTAGACAAGACTGGGATAAGACTCCAGTCCAACTGACTTGTCCTGGCTCTGCCTCGGCCAGTGGCCTACACGCCCAGGCTGACTTGTGAGCTGTTCGAGAGGGCTCACGAGGTCTCTTGGAAGATGACCCTTTGCAAAATGAACTGCTGGCTCATTAAGCCACACTGACACCTAGCGATGGGCCTCTGGCTTCCAAGAGACTCACTGTGGGCTCACACTGGGTTCATGCACGCTCAGGGAGTCAGTCAGCCACGTGGTCCTGGACTCTGAATTGACGCCCTTTGACAGTGCTTTTTACCATCTGCATGCGTAAGAAAATGCCCTCTCTTCTCCTTCCCATCCACTATCCCCTGACCAGCATGATGACTAACAACACAGGCTCAGGGTCAGACTGCCCGGGTTTGAACACTGACTCTGCAGCTGACCAGGTCCGAAAAGTTGTTCAACCACTCCAAGCTGCTCCAAGTTTTCTCATCTGCAAAATGCACTAGTGTTGACCTCAGAGGGTTGTGCCAGGTTAAAGCTCTTGGCACAGTTCCTGCCATGTAATAAGTGTCCAATCAACCCTCACTGTCAGTCTTGGGAATGATTCCCCTCCTGTGGGCCTTCTCTGGTCACCCAGGCAGGAAGCCTTCTCCTCCTCCTTTGACCTCAGAAAGCCCCAGCTATCTCAACATCTGGAACAGGCCATTTCCTGCCTGTGTCCAAGTCATGCTTTCTCAGCCTGACCACTAGCCAAGTCTCACCAAGCCCCACTTGGGGCCTTGCCGACCATTCATGTAGTAAAATCTTGTTGACAAATTAATACAGAATCCCATGGAAACACTACAGAGATTTCAAAAGAAGAGCAAGAAAGAATGCTTCCTTCATGAGAGAGATGTGCTTTATCTTATGGAGGCAGGAGTGGGTAAAGAGATGGAAGTTTCCAGAATGGGTTCCTTGGAATCACCAAGGATTGAGAACACATGTTCAGGCTGGGGGCGGAGCAGCCACAAGCTGTGAGGCTGGGTCCAGGCCCCTCGTCTGCTTCCCAGCACAGCCCAGTGTCCGTCTATTTACAAACTAGTTTCCCTGTGAGATTCATTTGAACAAAGGACTCCGGCACATACATATCAAAACTTTAAAGTTTCCAGTCACTATTTTACGGGAGGAAATGGTGTTTGAACAAATCATAGATCTTTGCTCTAAAATTCGAATCTTTTTAGAAAGCTTTTGGGAGAAATAATTGAGAATGGATGTCCTTAAATATTAATCATTCTTTATCCTCAATGGTATCGAGAAGCTGTGTTGGGACCCTGTGTTGGTGTGGCCCTTTGCTGAGTGCCCCCAAGAGGGAGGGGCTACCACGTCCCCCGCCCCTGAGACATCCCTGCCCTCCAGGTCTTTCACCAAATTGGAGACCCAGGTTTCTGTTTCTCTTTTTAAATTATTGGGATCATTTTCCTAGTGAAGAGTCACAGTGAAGGAAGAAAACATTTCATGTGAACAAAAAATTAAGTTTACACCCTGAAAATACCAGAAATAAAAATGTCTCGCCTTTTTCTTTTCTATAGATCTGTTTAGTTGACTCAATTATTTAAGAGCTGTCTGGCATACTTTTGAAGATAATGCAGTAGAGAAAGACTTCAGAATCCACTACAGAGAACTGCAGCTAGGACCGAGGGCACCCCAAATCCCAGAGAAAGCTCCTGGTGTAACTATTTTAGGTGAGCCTTCGGGCACAGAGGTCTGTGTCCTACAGAAGAGAAGCCTTCGTCATACTGCTCCCTGAGCAGAGCCCAAAGCAATTATCACCAGAGAAAACCATTTTCAGCCTGCTTCCCCAGGACCCAAGACAAAAGTGACGGACTTCAGTACCCTGGTCACACGTGGCCAATGGCAGTGTACCCCGATCATTCAAGTGCCTCAGGGCTTGGGAGGAGGAAAAGAAAAATAAGGTATCTATTCTCTACGCTTGTTCTAAAAGGTCACTTCTGTTTACTTTCCTGTCCCCAAAGTCACCAGAGGAAGACACCAGGTGCTCTGCAGAGGGCAAAGTTCATTAGCAGTTCCAGTTCTAATGAGAACTTCTGTCCTTTCCCAATGACGGAAGAAACCTTACCTCACAGACATGAATTCCTCTTCATAAATAAAGTTTATTTATGTGCTCAGAAGCTGAGCACTACAAGTTGAAAATAACCTTGTCTTTCAAAAAAACCACTTCATTGTGTCGCACTAGCTGCTCTTGATCTTGCTAAGCACCAACTCCAGGGGCTTCTTCCTGCAAAGCCTCATCACTAGAATCGGAGGGAGCCTGAAAGTGGGAGGGCAGCTTCAGGGTCGTCCTGGCCTGATCTGCACATCTTACTGTCGGGTCCTTGCCCCAGGCTCCTCAGCTAGCTCCAGGGAGGACAGAGCCTGGCCCCCAGTCTCTCCTGCCTCTGTATTTCCCTGGGAGGCTCTAGATCCCCGTTCTTGCACTGATTGCCAAAAGTTCCTCCCTTTTTTCAGTAGTACCTGTGTGTCCTTGGGGACTCAAAATGTCACCTCAGACCTTTGGTTCCTCTCCTGTCTTCCCGCCTCCCCTTTTCATCTGCTTGGTAAAATCGGTTTCTCTGAGATGTAACTAATTGGGTTTACTATTTAAATAGTGCCAGGCATTTAACAAGGGTAAGGACTCTGGTTGTCTGGTGGTTAAGATTCGACACTCTCACCTCAGCGGCCTGAGATTCGTTTCCTGGTCAGGGAACCACACCACCTCTCTGTCGGTTGTCATACTGTGGTGGCTGTGTACTGCTGTGATGCTGAAAGCCATGACACCAGGATTTCAAATACCAGCAGAGTCACCCATGGTTGACCTTCCAGACTAAGAAAGACTAGGAAGAAGGACCTGGCCACCCACCTGGAAAAAATTGGCCATGAAAACCCTGCAAATAGCAGTGGAACACTGTCTGATATAGCGCCAGAAGGCGAGAGGATGGTGCAAAATACGGAGCAGGGTTCCCTCTGCTGTACACAGGGTTGTTAGGAGTCGGAATCGATGCAAGGGCATTAAGAACAACGACAAAGACGCTGGAGCTAGAAGAAGGATGTTGATCAGGTAGAATTTCAGGCATCCAGAAACAAGTGGAGAGATGCATTGGGAAGAAAAGGCGCCCTTGGGTCCTTTGATCTTATGTCATATAAGGCTTTCCCAATTCTTCACAGCTAAATGCGCCTTTCTGGGCTTGGGCCTTTGAAGAATACTTACATCAATATAAAATCACCATTTTTTTCTTTTTTCCTTTTTGAAGACCAGGAAACTTAAACTCAGGGAGGGTAAGTGACCAGCCCACAGAACACCCAGCTAACAGGTGCTGGGGTGGGGATTCAAACCCAGGCCTCCTGGCTCCCCACTTGGCCTCTTCCCCCTCCAGTGGGCTTCACAAATCCAGTCCACATGTGGTAGCCCTCACTGCTGCCAGTGGCAGATATGCTTTGGAATCCAGTGTGAGTTTTGCCCCCCTCACCTGCCCACCAGCTCTGATGTCATGGGCATTGATTCCTTCGATGCTAATGCAAATGAATCTGGTCTCGGGATGTGCCCTCACATAATTAACAGAAGCCAGACTAGGCAGAAATGCTGGAACGACTGCTTGGTGCCTAGAGCTCTCTGAGTTGCTGCTGGCGGAGGCAGAACACCTCCATCCTTGGGATTGCCTCCAGATCTTCCAGGCACACATGCCGTGAGAGAGCTCCAGCCCAGAAGTCAGTTGCTGCCTGACCCCAGGGCCCCACCACGTGCCAGCTGCTAGGATTCAGGGCCTGGAGATATGGACTCACTTGTCCCCCTGCCTCCTTCTCCTGTAACTGACCTAGGTGCCTTGGAACATGCATTCCACCTTTACAGTACAGTCATGCGCCACATAACGACATTTTGGTCAAAGATGAACCACAAATATGATGGAGATCCCATAAGATCAGTACCTTATAGACTAGGTGTGTAGTAGGCTATACCATTTAGGTTTGCGTAAGTGCTGTAGGGGAGGAAGAAATTTTCCTCGACTCTTCTAGGTTCTTCTGGCTGGTCTAAGAATTAAATTGACATGAGACAGATTAACAGGAGAAAAACAAAAGTTTAATAACATTTATACATGGGAGAAACCCAGGAAAACCTGGTAACTCACCACAGTGGCTGAAGCCCTCACCTTAAATACCATCCTCAGCTAAAGACAAAAGAAAGTGGGAGAGTCAGGGACTTCAAAGGAAAGGAAGGCAATGCACAGGTTGGTGAAAAGGAGCAAAGGTTTGGAAAACAAGTGTTTGGCCACACAGAAACAGAAGAACACAGAGGGGAGCCTAACAAACAGGCTTTTCTAGGTTCCCCCCATCTATCACCTAGTTCGTGTTATGCTAAGTTCATGTATAGCTCACTCCCTGAGACAGGTTTTTTGTTGGTTTTTTTTTTTTTTTGGCGAGGAAGATTAGCTCTGAGCTAACATCTGTTGCCAACCCTCCTCTTTTTGCTAAGGAAGATTGGCCTTGGGCTAACATCCATGCCCATCGTCCTCTAATTTATATGTGGGATGCCGCCACAGCATGGCTTGACAAGCGGTGCCTCAGTCTGCACCTGGGATCTGAACCTGCAAACCCCGGGATGCCAAAGTGGAGTGCATGAACTTAACCACTATGCCACCAGGCCGGCCCCAAGAGACAGGTTTTGTGTGTGTGTGTGTGAGGGAGATCAGCCCTGAGCTAACATCCATGCTAATCCTCTTCTTTTTGCTGAGGAAGACCAGCTCTGAGCTAACATCTACTGCCAATCCTCCTCCTTTTTTTCCCCAAAGCCCCAGTAGATAGTTGTCTGTCATAGCTGCACATCCTTCTAGTTGCTGTATGTGGGACGCGGCCTCAGCATGGCCGGAGAAGCGGTGCGTCGGTGCGCACCCGGGATCGGAACCGGGCCGCCAGTAGCAGAGCACGCGCACTTACCTGCTAAGCCACGGGGCCGGCGCCCAGAGACAGGTTTTTCATCTGAATTCTTTTAGGCAGTTATGGGGGAAGTAACAAGAAACACTTTATGAGTCTTTTGTTTCTTAAAAATAATCAGCCTAAAATAATCCTCATGTTAAAGAGACACATTTTGGGGTGGCAAATTCTGTTCCCCTTCGGTACACTGTATGATGTTGGCACAATGACAAAAATCGCCTAATGACACATTTCTCAGAACGTTTCCTGTTGTCAAGCAATGCATGACTGCACACAGAATATTGGAAGGGCAAGGGAACTGTGGCTTCCTAATTGCAGCAGGGCCTCTGACAGGGTCTCGCATAGGGGAAAGGATGAGATGTAAGTGGTCTCTTATGGGGATAGAGGAAGAATTCAACGAGGTGGTTTGGAAATAAAGAGCCACGCCCACTTAGTGCAGCCAAGGGGATCAGAACCGTGTCTCTAGTGACACGAAGCACAGCTCAGTCCTCAGCCGTGTCCTATTCAACTTTAGCTTTAATCAGTGCCACATACGAAAACACAGAGAGCGGCTTCATGGAGTGGATGAAAGCAAGCTTCCAAATGGGATGGAATGACATTCTAATCGCAGCTTTGCCACTTGGCTGTGTGACCTCAGGGAAGTGACTTAACCTCTCTGAACCTCAGTTTTCTCTCTTATAGGGTTATGTTAATGAAATGATAAAATGTATGTGACTGACATACAGTAAGCGGTCAATCAATGGTATGCGGTTTGTGCATCGCATTTGTGAGTGAGATGGAGTAGGGAGGAAAGGCTAGTATGATGCTGCTGCACAGTGAGGGTCCCAGAACATCAAGTGACTCACGTAAACGGGAAGGTCCAATACTTACTTCCCATGAGTCAATTGTACATGCATAGGATAGGGCCTTCTGGCTTGGCAGCAGCCCGTGTTATAAGACTTTGGGTTTTGGCTGATGGTCGCTGGTGATGGGGCCACCAAAAGCACACGAACCCACAAACCTACAAAGACCTTCTCACTTGGGCTCTAGTAACAGCAGGGTGTTCTCCGTCTCCCTGCCTGGTCAGGCAAGAATGCGGGAACCTGCTCACAGGAGAATGAGCATGACAGGGAAGGGATTTGCACCTGCTGAGGAATGGCTGGGTGAGCTGGGGTTTCTAGCCCGGAAAACCAGATGCAGCCCAGGTGTGAGAGCCGTCCCAGCATTGAAGGCAGACAGGTAGAGATGCACTTGCCCGACTCCGTGAGGTTCCAGAAGAAAAAGTAGCCCTGATATGGGGAGGCTGAGGGTAGGAAGAGCCTGGTGGCAGTTGGGGCTGTGCAAAGGTGGCCTGGACGGGCCACAGGATGGTAGCGAGTTCCCACTGCTGGAGGTAGCAGGGATATTGTAGGAGGGAGGAGGCAGCAGCTCAGTGGCTGGGGTTCAGGACTCTGACTTCTAATCACTCACCTGGGAGAGAGAGCCTTTCCCCTGACATTAATTCTCACCTGCTTCTGCCACCTTGTTAAGAAGGCTGATTAGGTTGGAATCGGTCACATGATAGACTTAATTTGTCTTGCTTGGGATCTTCAAGACTCGTAGAATGAAATGCAGATCCCTGGAGGCCAATGCCTGGATGGCTTTTAATCAGGCTGATCAAACTTCAGCCCTAGGAGGTTTTAAAAGAAAAGGAAAGAAAGGAAAATAAGCCCAAATGCGTTGGTCTTACCGAGGCAATTCAACCCACCTCAGGCTCTGCTGGTGTCATTGGTGCTCACATTGAGTTGTGGGCACCTGTCCAACATGTGCTCATGCTTTTCACCCTGAATTGCACAGGTGCGGTCACCACCCTAGTCACTTCTGCATCACAGGGGATGGAGGTTAGGGCTTGGGAAAGGGCACAGTGGAAATGCACATCAGAAAAATGCACGTGGAGCGCTAGACCCGTTCCATACAATATTCCAGGACCCTCCTCTTAACGGCTGAGCTCCTGTGAAGGCAGCCAGGCCAGCACACAAATAACTGCCCAGGTTGTGTGACTGCAGCGCACGCACAGTGGGAGGGGAGGCTAGGGAAGGCCTCTTGATGGACGCAGCATTGATCTGGCCTTAGAAGATAGAATTTCAGTATGCAGAGATGTATTTGAACCAAAATCCTTGTTCTGGACTCATTGTGTGGAAACAGCTGCTATGGCTCCAGAGGGCAGGCACTAGGACCTCCCCTGCCTGGTGCTCTGATGAGGATCATTTGCTGCTGCCTTGCCCCCTTTCACCCAGTCCGTGGATAGTAGCTGGGCACGAGCTACCTTCTTTGGTCAGGCTTGCTATAAAGGAAAGGCCACATTTATCCTAAAAGCCAGGATCTGCTGGATCCTGCTGGAGCATGAACTCAAGTGGGGAGCCCCTGGGTTGGGGATCTGTGACGGTGACTTTCCTCATTAAGCAGGGCATCTGGCCATCTCATTCCTGAGTGCGTCCAGGAGCTGGATGAGCTTGAAATCAATTGAGCTTGCTGCATATTTGATTTCCTAGGACCCACTCGCCATGCGAGGAGACATCATCAGAACTGCAGCAAGGAATCACCATGGAGACCAGAGGACTGTCTGAATCCAGGCGAAGGTCCTTCACTGGCCAGGGGCCTGCCAGGTAACTGACCATTCTCAGCCATCACCTTGGGAAGGGGGAGACTGAGGCAGAAAGAACGTAGATACATCTCAGGAAGAAATGGTGGGTGGCGTGGGGTTGAAGATTTGGAGAAATATAGGGCAAGAGAAGAGCAGTCAGAAATCTATTAGTCAGTAATTTCCTCTTGGCTCAGATGTTCTGAGCTCAGAAAAGTCTAAGAAAAACTTCCTTTATCTGAAATTGCTTTGATAAAAAGTGATATTGAAGTACTTGCTCAATTCTGGAAGAATTCAGAAAAAAAGCCAACCAGGGAAGGTTCAGAAAAGAACTCAGAAAAAAGGCCAGCCAGCTGTGGGAGCCCATTGGGTGGACCACAGTGGCATGCAGAGGGCAATAGTGGCACTGTCCCAAAGAGCCTCTGGCAAGTCCTCACAGGCGTGTCTTGACTCCATAGCATGCATCCTTGCAAAAGCATTTGAGAGACTAACTAGGCTCTGTCTGCCTTCTGATGACATCTGTACTCCGGCTTCAACAGCTCTAACACCTTGAGGAAGTCATTTCACCTCTTCAAGTCTCATTTAGAAATGCATCTAACAGTGCCTGCCCCACGGGCGGCTAGCAGCACTGCGTCAGAGCCAAGCATGGACTCACGACAGGTGCTCAGCGAATCCTGGGCTCATGATTTCCTTCCACCGAATTTTTTTTTACCAATGCCATAGTCATTTTATATAGTCATGTGTTCTACAGTTTTTGCTTGAGATTATTACAAAAAATTAATTTATCTCTTTATTCTTCATATTTTTCATTGTGGAGGATGCTACCATTATTTCACTAGGCCCATTATAGCTGAGCATTTATGTGATTTCCAGTGTTTTTGTCTTAAAATGCTCTCAACATTCTTTGCAAGGAAGAGAATGCCTTCAAACCAGCTCGAATTAAAAGGCCTGGGGCAGGGCCAGCGGAAGCTAAGATACAGACCACCTCATGGAAATGGAGCCAGTGGGGCTCACGAGGGGGAGCTGGGGAGGCAGCTGCCATCTCTCTCTCATTTTCTTGTGGCGTTTCATGGTCTTGGTGCTTTTTTTCTGCATGTCTCCTCCATTTTTGGCTTTCTCTGCTCACACATCAGTAGGCACAGGCTAAAAATGGCCTTTGCCATATGATCTTGAGTTGAGACACCCAACCCCATGTTGGAGTGGTGCTTAGTTCAGAGGCTTGAGTGACTCACTGTGGGTCAGTTGTCCATCTCTGAGCCTGTTGGCTGAGGCCAGAGGGGGGTGTATGACCTCGGTTCCACTTCCTCAGTAGAGGGAGGATGTGGGTGCGGGAGCGACCAGAGCAGAGAGGTTGGCACCTCCACATACGCCTCCAGCAGCGTCTGTAAGCATCTCTGCATGTGGGATGTTTTCCTGCTTTGATTAATTCCCTTAGGCTAAGGTCACAGGAGTGTGATGAGGGTCAAAGAATGTGACAATTCATGACTTCGCTCCGGATTGCTCAAAACTGATTTTATTGGGGACAGTGGCGTGCACTGTAGATGCCACATCAGGGAAACCGGGCCCCAAGATACAGGGTTGAGTCTCTCGTCCCGTTCCCTCGGGCAGAGGCAGGGAAGGCAGGAGGCAGGGCTGAGGGAAGGGTTCTCATGGAAAGCTGGAGCTAAGATGAGCTCTGGGAACAAAGACTGCCTGGTCTCAGGGCTTGAGGATCCCATGGGGTCTGGCTCTGGGAGAGGGGTCAGGGCAAGTTGCAAAGGACCTTGTGCACAAGTCCTGGGGGGTAAATGAGAATTTCTATGAGAAACAGTAAGACAAGGGTTGGGGAAAGAATCTAAATTGTACCTGGGTGCTTGTTCCTTTAAACCTTGCTCTAAATTTTATACCATTTGGAAATTGTATTTTTTACTCCTCATATGCTTGCTAGTCATAACAGAGCCCTCCACAGGGCAGAAGGGATGATGAGCAGCAAAGCTCGCTAATGCCCTGTTTGAAGGATCGTGCCTCTGGTAGCGTCGAGGTGTTAAAAGGACAAAGCCATAATGAAGACAATGTCCCTTTTCAAAGAAGCTCTGTCTCAGGCTGCATGTGGCAGAGGAGAAGGGAATAAAAGGCCCAGCAGAGTGGACGTGCAGTGAGCCCACAGGGCCCCCAGGACCCGTGTCCTGCTGGTCATCTCCGCGTTTGCCTGGGCCCTTGAGAAGCGGTTTCTGTCTCCTCCTTCTCTGCACTCGCTGCCTGTCTGTGCCCTTCCAGGTTGTCGCGCCTCATCATCTCGCTGCGCGCCTGGACCGCCAGGCACGTACACCACCAAGACCAGAGACCTGACTCTTTTCTGGAGCGTTTCCATGGAGCCGAGCTCAAGGAGGTGTCCAGCCGAGAAAGCAATGCCCAGTCAAACGTGGGCAGCCAGGAGCTACCCAACAGAGGGAGCAGGTAAGGAACCAAAAAGGAGAAAGGGCTGCCTGCACCAGGGGCGACGGGGCAGGGCCGGAAGCGTTTGCCTGCTCCATCTAGCTTGGATGCACTCTGCCCCAGGGTGGCTCTGGAGCACCGCCCCCTCAGCAGTTCCTTGAAGAAGATGTCTGTCTTGGAGGAGTACTGCATGCTCTAACAGTCCCTGTCCAGAGGCCAAGGAGCCCTGCAGAGAGGAAACCCTTTGACCAGAGTCCCCAGCCTCATTCTACCACTGCCCCCATCCTACGTGGAGCTCTGCTCGCCTCCCGGGAATTAGTACTCTCAGAGACTCATCTGGGGATGCTGGCTTCACCAGTTTCTCCCCAGCAAAGGACCCTCATCCTAGACTGCACTATGACCCTCCTTCCTAAAAAAGAGAGGCTTTTAGAGCACAAGCCTCAAGGAGTACCTAAATGGAACCCACAATTTTATGCCTAGGTATACATGCATTTTTCTGGGAAGAAGGTCCAAAGGTCAGAATTTTCAAGGGGGATCATCCATGTCCCAGATCAGGTTAAGAACTATGTGGTGGGGTGGTGGGGAGGTGACTGTGGGTGGAGGAGGATGGGGGATGGGGAGTGTTTGCTTTCTGGTAGGAGAATGGTCAGCAGAGCAAGGGTTCTGAGCGTCTTCTTGCACAGCCGCCTGTCCAACTGGAAGCTTGGGGCTGGTGCTGTCTGGTGCAGACATGTACAGAAATTGGCAGGTGCTGGACTGACATGCCCCCCACCCCACCCCACACACACCCCCCACACGCCCCACACGCGCCCCACACACACCCCACACACACCCTACACACAGAGCTGCCGCTCCCCCGTCTCTTGTTCTTGAGAAGTCCCGCCACCCAGTGGTTGGTGGGGAGACCCCTGGGCCACCACAGGTCAAATTAATTGTCACAGAGCAGCCAAGGGTCTCTTTAGGACCCTCGGGGCAGGTGGAGGGGAGGAGAGGTAAGACAAGGAGGGGAAGCGTATCTCTCTCAAGAGGTACCTCACAAACAGGACTCTTGCTCAGAACCTGCTTTCTGAAAAAAGGGGCTTGAAAAGATCTTGTGGCTGAATTCTCTAGGTAATGCCAAGGTTTATAAGATGTAAAAGTGAAAATGAGTATGATTGTTGCAGAACAGACAGTCCCTATATAATTTGCTAGAGAAAATGCCATCTGTTTTTGTGTCAAACAAGCAGAAGAAGGGCTCAGGTGTAGGCATCTGGGCCCCTGGGGAGTGAAGGTCATGATGCCTCAGAGGAAACAGGATGGATCTTCCTGAAGCTTCCATTTTACCTCCGTATTTCTATGTGCGTGGGGGGGGGGGGGATTTTTATTATAGATTATGCATTAGATTGTAAAATGTACAAGCCTGTTCAAGAGAAAATATGAGAGTTCAAAGAAATTTCTCACTAGTGACCACATTAGGAGACCCAAGTTCAGTCTTCTTTCCTGGGGAAAGTGTGAGAGCTGCTGGCTGAGATGCGAAGGCTCCTGGAGCAGCATTCTCAGGCTCATGTTCTCGCAGGAGCTTGGACTACAAACCCTCGGGCTCTGTGGGCTGTGGGAAGGGAACCATGGGGGGCCTGGATGCTGGCTGGGACACTTGCAGGGCCATCCCAGGGTCCCAGGGCCTAGCACCCCAGACCGTGAGGGAGCTCCATGACTGTAAGGCCTGTACGCTGTTTGCTGCTAAGCCAGAAAGACAGGGGGATGGCAGCTAAGGAAGAAGAGAAGATAGAGAGGGAGGAGGAGGAGAAAGAGGAGGGAGGGAGGAAAAAGAGGTTTGCTAGCAAGCCGGCCTGACCGGTTCAGTCCTTTGGGCGAGCAAAGACTTCCCTGGTTTAGTTGATCAAATTCTCTTCTCCACAACCTTAGACTAATGGAGACAAACATTAGACTTTTTGTCCATTTCCCATTGTGATCAGGTGAGTGGAGCGTTGAGCTAGGACCCCATCAAGGGCAGGCCCTGACTATACCACAGATGCCTGGTCACTCACCCGACAGTTCAGAGTGAGTGGATGAATGCACTGGTGCAGAATAGTAGCTGATCAATCAGGGAGGCTTCCTGAGGGAGGAAGACTGAATTTTCCAGACCAAGTCCCACTGACAAAGCAAAATGTGTGCAGAGATGGGTCTTAGTTCTCCTGTGGGTTTGGCCTTATGAGATTACGGGCACAGTGGTGTGGGAAACACGGGCCACTGCCCCCCCAGGAGCTAAACTTTCCTTCACAATCTCACAGGGGTTTGATCCCTGTTTTCTGATGATCAGAACCAGTCCTGAAAGAAGCAGTTGGAGCCACATCCTGGGTGGGGAGAGGGAGACAAGGGCAGGATGAGCAGAAGTACCAAAACGGCTTTGGCTGGATGTTCAGCATCGTAGAAAAGGTGCCCTGAGAGTCAGGCTGGAGTGTCACTGGCCACTGGCTTATACAGTGACCACGGACAAGCAAGCCATCCTCCAGCTCTGTGAGGCCGAGCTGGCTTTCCTAACCCAGCTGTGTCAAAGACGGGTACTGGCAGTCGAACACTGGAGATAGTACCTCTTCCCATTGAACACCACGAGGTACTGAGCAGCTCAGCTCTGGAAAACATCCAGTTAGGTGCAAAACCAGCCCCCACCTTCTACCTGATTCTTGCATAGATCAGGTGGCAGGCCCTGAAGTTTTAAGATTGACACGGGGGCAGGGGACACAGGGAGGACAGATTAACAACTGGGACAATTCTGCTCATGCTCTATATTTTGCTTTGCAAATTGGAAGCGGCTGCTGTGATTGGGTGTCGAGGGAGGACCCTGTGAGAGCCACGCCTCTGTAGATGAGGGTAGCACGTGGTCGCGGCTGCCGAATGTGTCCGCTCTGGTGGGGAAAGCGCTCAACCTGCTTCGCCTGAGAGCACCGGAGAACAGGCACCACATCGGGTCCATTTCTGTGCCCCTGGTAGCGCCTGGCATGCTGCCCGGCGTCTGGTTAAACTGAAGGAAATCGAGTGGAATTTGAGGCCGGGATTCTGGATGGGATTCCAACGGTGAATCCCCGTTTGCTCAGAAGCCTCCGTTTCGCCAAGTGTTCATCCCCTCTTCCCCCACGGCTTTTACGAGAGACAACTAGTCACAAAAAATTTTGTCCCTGACGATAACAACACCCCCTGTTCTTCAAGCTGTGTTCTTCTCCTGTGTGCCCAGGAGACAGGGGGTGGGGGTCCCAGAGTAGCCACCTTGGGGCAAATGGTCCCCAGCAATTGGAACTGAGTTCAGACTCCCATGCTGCATTCTCTCTGCCTCCCTGCAGTGCCTGGCCCCTGGCCAGAAACAATGTCAACTCCTGCAACAACTCAGAGAAGTGAGTACCTCTGCTCCCCGCAGAGCCCCGCTCGCCCTCCCCCGACCCAGTGCCACACTCCACCCCCTAGAAGCCCCAGCTTTGCCTCCCTCAAGTACTCCCGCTTCCCACCCTCCCAAAACACCACTAGACTATTCTAGAATCCTGTTCCTTTTATTGGAAATCTATCCCCATGGACAAACTGGGGGACGGGATCTGGTCTGTATGATTTCTTTGGGCAAGTCATTTTATCTCTTTGTCTCTTGTTTTTCTTATCTATAAAGCAAAGGGTTGGATCAGACAGAAGTTTTAAGTTTTAACACCCTCTATCGCTAGATATTTGAGGGTGGTAAACTGGGGTTCCTTTTCAGAGCAGTGGATCTTCTCCTTCTGGTGAGAATGCACTTTCCCTTCTATAACCTCAAGCTCCTGTGTGCCAGTGAAATGCCCTTGTCTTACGGCCAATTCAGGCCAATTTGAAGCGTGTAATCAGGGCTGTGGAAAGACAAAATTTAAATATTTCCAGAGATTAGCCTCCTGAAACGGTGACCCGCTGTAATTACTGTCTATCACCAGATGCTGAGCCGGCAGATCAGTTTGACGTGATTCTGACAAGCGCCACCCAAGAGCCCAGGGAGGGCGTGTGCATGTGTGTGTGAGCGTACATACGTGTTAGCGTGTGTGCATGTCTGCACTGTTCTCCAGCCTCCCTTTTTGGAATACCGTGGGATCTCATGGGGGGGGGGGTCTCAGCTAGAGCTTAGAGAAAAACCCTCAATATCCGCAAGAAGTGCCAATTTCTTGACTTCCAGTTGAAAGAGAAACATGCAGAGCTTTTTCTTCTTATTTCCCTCTGTTCCTCTGACAGAACTTTTTCCATTTCCCTCCATGAACCTCAGTTGCATTTTGTTTACACAAATTTAGACATCAAATTCAGAGGCCCAACTGCCGGCAAACAAGAAAAATGATTTAATCTGCAAAATAATAGCTATTGCGCTATGTGCTTGATTCAAAGCCACACCTGATATTAAACACCCTTGAAATGCTGGTGTTGAGTCCCACAGTCGGTGAAAGGCTCAGGGCACTGGAAATCACGGATGGAGGTCCTGTGGGTCTCCAGGCCTCTCCGTCCTGGGGCTGGGATGTGGGCGAGGACGGATGTGGGTGGTGTTGGCTGCACCAGGCTCTTATAAATCTTTCCAGATGCGCTCACAGCATGGGTCCACACTGCAGCCAAGGACCGAGGGACAAAATTGGAGATCGTCCCAAAACGGGGCCCCCTGGGCACAGAAGATATGGAAATAACTCTTATGGACACCATCCCCCATTCTTCCACCACATTGCTGGCATTTTCACTTAGTCCCGTGGGTCCTGAACAATTTCTCCCTCTCTCATCAAACTGTTCCTAGCCAAAACCAGCATCATTTCAAGACTCTGCATAGGTCTTTTGGGGCAGTGCTGGGTGAATTTGGGGATGCAGCTGGATGGCGCTGGGTCTTTCCTAGGCCCTCAGCAGGTTGGTAGCCAGAAGAAAGGCTGAGACCTGGACAAATCCTGGAGCAAAAATCCCGGACAAGGGTAGCTGAGCCTGGCGTGATTAAACTCCCCGCAGAACTAAGCCTGCCAATAAGCTTGTGGGCAGCGCCCTCTGCCGGTGCCTTGACATTAGCACTTCAGAGGCAGAAAACCGACTTCAGGGGGCACATCCCAGTAGATTCAAGAGGACAGAGGATGGGTGACTTGCTCTTCTCATTTAATGATTTTAATAACCTTTTATTTATTTTTTTTTGAGGAAGATTGGCCCTGAGCTAACATCTGTTGCCAATCTTCCTCTTTTTCTTTTTTCTCCGCAAAGCCCCAGCACATAGTGGTATGTCCTAGTTGTAGGTCCTTCTAGTTCTAGGACCTACAGCGGCCCTGGGCCGCTGAAGCAGAACGCGAAAACTTAACTGATACACCACCGGGCCAGCTCCCTAACCTTTTATTCTTACTCAATTTATTCATATACTCATTGTCAAAAACTTTGAAAACACAGAAAAGCACCCATGAGCATACACCCACAAAACGTACACTTCATGTTAACAATAGAATTCCATTATCAGAGATAACCCATCTTAACATGTTGGCAAATATCACTGCAAGTTTTTTCTAGGTATGTATATTGAATAGATAGATAGATAGGATGTATTTAAAATATACACTGGTTAAGAATATTTGTATCCCAACTTGGCCACCTAAGAGCTTTGTGACTTGGCAAACTACCTAACCTCTCTGTGCATCAGTTTCCTGACTTGTAAAGTAGGGGTTGTAATTGTATCTTACTTACAGGACTGTGTGAAGACTAAATGTGGTAATATATATAAAGTGCTTAGAACAGTGCCTGGTGCATAGGAGTGTGGTAAGCAGAATAATTTCACCCCCCTCCCATAGATGTCTATGTCCTACTCTCTGGACCTGTGAATAGATTGCCTTATATGGCAAAGGGACTTTGTAAATGTGATTAAATTTGAGGACCTTGAGATGGTGAGATTATCCTGGATTATCAAGGTGGACCCCTGTAATCACGTGAGTCCCTTAAAAGGAGGAGAGGGAGGTAGAAGAGTGGGTCAGAGCTATGAGATGCAAGAGAGAGGAAGAGAGATTTGCAGTGTGAGAGGGACTCGACCCATCATTGCTGGCTTTGACGATGGAGGCTGGGGGACATGAGCCAAGGGATGAAGCAGCCTCCAAAAGCTGGGAAAGCCCTCCATTTACAGCCAGCAGGAGAACAGGGACTTGGTCCTACAGCTTCAAGGAACTGAATTCTGCCAACAATCCACATGAGCAGGAGACAGATTCTCCTTCAGAGCCTCCGGGAAGGAATGCAGTCTGATGAAGCCTTGATTTCCATCCAGTCAGACTTATACCAGGCTTCTGATCTCCTGAACTGTAATATAAAAATTTCGGGTTGTTTTAAGCCACTAGGTTTGTGGTAATTTGTTATGGCAGTGATAGGAAACAAATAACACAGCTTCTGATACCAGAAGTGGGGTGCTGCTGTCACAAACACCTAAAAATGTGGAGCTGGCTTTGGAATCGAGCACTAGACAGAGGCTAGAAGAATTTTAAGGAGTGTGATTTTTTTTTTAAAGCTTAGATTGCTTCGAACAGGTTGTTAGAAGAAATATGGACGTTAAAAACTCTGCCAGCGTGTGGTATATATACACAATGGACTACTACTCAGCCATAAGAAACGATGAAATCCAGCCATTTGTGACAATGTGGATGGACAATGAGGGTATAATGCAAAGTGAAATAAGTCAGAGGGAGAAGGTCAAATACCGTATGATTTCCTTCATTAAGTAGTAGATAATAACAACAATAAACAAACACATAGGGACAGAGATTGGATTGGTGGTTACCAGAGGGGAAGGGGGGAGGGAGGAGGGTGAAAGGGATAATTCGGTACATGTGTGTGGTGATGGGTTGTAATTAGTATTTGGGTGGTGAACATGATGTAATCCATGCAGAAATAGAAGTACAATGATGTACACCTGAAATTTTTACAATGTTATAAACCAATGTTACTGCAATAAACAAAAAATTAAAAAAAAAACAAAACCCTCTGCCAGCGAGGCCTCAGAAGGAAATGAGGAACACTGCAGAGAAAACGTAAGTTGCCTAAATATGCAATATCTAAATGGTCATAAACAGACTGTTAGTAGAAATCTGGACTTTAAGGATGCTGCTGGCGAGAGTTCAGGAGGAAATGAGGAGTAGCCTATTGGAAACTGGAGGAAAGGGGATCCTTGTTTTATAACGGCAAAAAGCTTAGCGGAATTGTATTCTGCAAGTATGTGGAAAGCGGAACTTGTATGCAATGATATTCAATATTTAGCTGAGGATATTTCCAAGCAAAATGTTGAAGGTGCAGCCTGGTTTTTTCTTGCTGCTTATGGTAAAACTTGAGAGGAGAGAGATAAGTTGAGGGAAGAACTGTAAAATGAAAAGGAAACAGGACCAGTTTTAGATATCATGGAGGGGAAGTCAAGATGGCGGTGTAAGCAGACTCTGAACTCACCTCCTCCCACGGACACGGCCAATTTACAACTACACGTGGAAAAATTACCCCTGAGACAGAACTGAAAACTGGATAAGAGGAACTCCTGCAACAAAGGACAATCCTAATTGAGGTGGAAGAGGCAGAAACTCCCTTCTGGAGAGAAAAAATGCCACCTTCACAAGCCGCCAGGTTCACGGCTGCCTGAGAGCAGCCCACAGGTACACAGCCCTCCCTGGAGGAGCGGGGCCCTGAGCTGGGGAGCGCCCCTGCTGTAGGCATTTTGTGGAGCCAACACAATCGAGATGAGTGGCATAATATCTGACTTTGCCTGCTACTAAAACATTGGGGAGTAACCCCAGAAAAGATGGTTCACAAAGAAATTAAAACTGGCTCTTAAAGTGCCCACGCGCAAACTCACCCAGTTCAGAAAGCAACCTAAAGTCACCAGAAAGAAAGGTGCACAGTGAAAAGAGACTCACCTGATAGGCTCTGAGTGCATTGCAGTGAGAGGTGGGATCTCTCCAGGGACTGGGACATTGGGGGCAGCCATTGTTGTGGCCTGGTGTGGGCATGCTGACACAGACGCGATTAGAGTTCTCCCTGGGGCCTGCTAGCCCAGGTCTGCCCCAACCACTAGAGAACTGATTTAATCCAGCTCAGCCAGGGCAGGCAGCCCACCCTAGAGACTGGCCCCACCCAACAACAAGCCCTCAGGCAACTTGTGGGCCTGCATAGATTGGTGACTGGATTCTCTGCAGCCTGGCAACTGAGCCCACTTCAGTGGGGCAGGGTGTGCACAAGGAGTGGGTGGAGAGTGTGGGGTGGTGGTGGAGTGGGTGGGGCTCCCACCGTGGAGAGACTGGGTCCACTTCAGGTGGTCAGGGCGTGCACACAGGGCAGGACTGTGTTGACTGTGTGTGTCGACCTGTGGGCAGCAGGGCTTGTCAGCTGCAGAAGACTTGTGCTTTTCAAAGACCCA